AGAACTGCCCGGTAAACCGTAGGCAGAGAGAGAGAAGAGGACAACAAACGAGGGGCTGTGACAAACTGTTTCGTCGGAGTTTCACCGATATATATATATATATATATATATATATATTTTACGCATTTTTTTTTTGGGGGGGGGGGATTTAAAAACCAGGCTGTGGACTGGGCCTCATCGGCCTCGGCCGTGGCCGACTTTTTCGGCCGCAGCGGCCAAAATGCCTGGGGCCTAGGCCGCGGGTGTCACATAGCGGTAGGGGCCGCGGACTGGGACTTGTGCCGCTTGTCTCCAGCAATGCGAAATATCGGATTCTTTTGACAAGGCCGATAACCAGTCCCGTCCTCTGTCCAAAAACAAGTGGGAAGGGCCAGTACCATAAATGAAAAATGTGCGACGACCCCGGAGCGGAGCGGAACTACCATGGTGACGCCACTGTCGGCCTGAGTTACAATAGCTTTTTTGAACTTGGGGCATGACAAAGTTTATGGCTCATGATTTTTTTGCCAATTAGAAACTCTGATGTGACATGAACGTATTTCCCTGAAAAAAAACAAAACGAAACAGAGGACCTTGCTCCACGCTTCTTGACATGTGCACAAAAGATGGCGGTGCATGTTTCCATGTTCTATGGGGAGATTCACTCTCGTTTTGCACATTTCGAGAGTAGTGGAGGGAGGGGGGGCCACTACTCTCGAAATGTGCAAAACGAGAGTGAATCTTCCGCTAGAACATGGAAAGATGCACCGCCATGAGGCCCCAAGGTGGACACACATAGGTCGGGAAATCTTAGAAGGAAAAACAAAAGAGAAAAAAAAAGAAAAAGAAACCGGGTTATATCCCATTAGGGACTCTGCATTGTTGTTAGCCCGTTGCATAAAAGACAAAAATCATGGCGCTATATCTTTCCATGTTCTAGCACAGATTCACTCTCGTTTTGCACATTTCCAGATCAATAGTGGAAACAGAGAGTGAATCTTCCCCTAGAACATGGAAAGATACTGCGCCACGATCTTTTTTTTTTCCTTCTTTCTTCCTCTTTTTTTTTTGGTAAACGGCCTGGCCCTCCGACGTGGATGACTAGACTGCAGTTACAAACTCTCCTTGCGACAGGCAGGCGACAGAGTCACAGAGGAGTTTGGACTGCAGTGTGAACTTCAGAGGGGATCGGACTCCAAAACGGAAGTTTGGAACGTATTTTCAAACTCTAACGCTGACCTTGGAAAAAAAAAAAAAAAACTCTAACCCTGATCGCCCCCTAGTTTTCTCAAAAAAGAAAAATAAAAATTATTATTTTCTTTTTTGAAACATCCTGGTTCACACTAGCTGTGGTGATAAGAGCACCATCAGCTAGTGAATACCTTCTGATGGCTCCGATCTATTTGTGGGGAGCTGCACAAGCTGGAAAACGGGTCCAGCGTCCCATGTGAAACAGAAAAACAATACCGGACTGTACAGCCCCAGGCCTCTTCACCCTCTAAGGGCCTCAAGTTAGCTTGAAGATCTAGCCTCTATACAATATAATTCGAAGAAGATGGCAAGCTAAAATCAGGGACATTTGAGCCTGAGCATTTCGTGGGTCTGCCAGACGTTACATACTACTGAACAGTTCTGGGGGATGACAGAGAATGGGAGAGATGGAGGTTTGGGCCTTAGAAGGTTTTGGAGCAGCTTATAGATTACAAGAGCTACTTACTATAAAATCTGATGACATGAAAGGGCATAATGAGGCACTAAGTGCAATTGTTACTGGAAATTTAATACCAGAACCAAGTACTACACCAAAGTCTTTTAAGCTTCTTATGAAAGAGCTTCGTTGTCTATGTTGAAGTATTCATCATTCTAGTTTAAGAAAAAAAAAGTGATAGAAAAGAGAGTTCAGGAGACAATTCAATTAAATTCGAGATCGTGGGAACTGATATAATATTTCTACACCTCTCATTCAAGGTGGTCTGGGTCCCAGAAGCCATGGAGTGAGTGATATACTCCCAATGGCATGTGTCGTCCTGCTGGCTAGCCTCCCCTCAATGCCCCAAGTACTGTCCAACCATTTGTACCTAGATTTCCTGTGTTTTTCCCTGTTCCTGTCTGCCCAAATAATCATCCTTCGAATGTGGTCCATGATCCACTGCAGAGTTGCCGCGTCGAAATAGAACCGTCCCTTGAAAAGTCTATCCTTCGTCAGTTTTCAAAATACCAAATCACATCCATAATTGCTGCTCTTGCAGCCAAGGCAATGTACCCCCATCCCTTCTTATAGGAAACCTTTGGTGGGAGGATGCCATCTATCACACGGCTCGTCCCAGACAATCTTGCACTTGGAGAACTTTACCCAGTGAGCACTCCACCAATTCCAAAATTTTGCGAGATTCGATACACCCCCACCACAGATGCACCGAAGTCTCTTGTTCCTTTTTACATCTGGCACAATTCCTTTTGACTGGCATATTTTTGTCCGCCAGCCAAACTGCTGCGGGCACGGCCCTGTGTAACTGTAACCAAGAGAGGTTGACCATTTTAACAGAAGGGATCTTCTGTAGGGAATCCCACATTCTGGTGATATCCACAAACATAATTTCTCTTCTTTTTTCACTAGTGTAGGTGAGTTCCACATTCCATTTACTTTTCACTATCAGCGTGTTAGAGCAACTCCTTGTCTGAATCTTGTATCGTATTTTTGGCTCATAATCCAGCAGGGTGGTACTCCCCTGATCCTTGAGTGAAGCCCAACCCCAATGCGCCGGGCTAGACTGCAACTTGCTTATCGGAATCACCCCTAGAGGACACTCGACCACTAACCTATTGTTCTCGTCCTTCTGTTTCCGCACCAGGATCTGTCTTCTATCTATGGCATACTGTGCAGCCACACGGGCCTGCAGGGCCCGACCAGCGTTCTCAGCCTGACAGCCTGGAAATAAGGGCCTACAGGACCTGTGTCGTTTGAGCCTGACAGCCTGAAAACAAGGGGCTACAGGCCCTGTGTCGTTTCAAACTGACAGCCTGAAAACAAGGGCCTACAGGCACTGTGTCGGTTCAGCCTGAAAGCTTGAAAACAAGGGCCTATAGGCCCTCAGTCCTTAGCCAGAAGCTACCTTGAAACTACCCGGAAGCTTCCTCAGGGACTAGCACGTTCTGGCATTGGCAAGAGCAGCCTCCCGGAAGCTTCCTCAGGGTCTAGCACGTTTGGGCATTGGCAAGAGCAGCCTCCTGGACAGGCCAGCACTATATAAGACTGGCCTGCCCTTTTTTTTTCCTTTTTTTTTTTTAAGACTAAGACTGGCCCGCCCTACAGGCAAGGTAGGTAGTTCATAGGGACTAGCCAGGCACTTCACGTGCAGCTCAGGAGGCAGGAGGTAGTCTTTAGGATTCGGCAGCAGCACTCTGGAGGAGCGCTGCAGTAGTAGTAGTAGCCTTGACAGTAGTCTTCAGCGCTGGGTGCTACTAGGAGCTAGAGTAGCATAGGAGAGAAAGAGATAGTTGGTCGAGGCCAGGGAGGCTTACCTGTGGCGCCATAGCTCCAGTTTCGTCGTCGAGGTACCTGCATCAAGGCGCCAGCTTCGGAGGTTAGTACCTGGCACATGAGAGAGAGAGAGAGTTCTTCTTCTTCCTCTTCTCAGTCCGCCATCTCTTCCTCACCGGCTCACTACCTGACTTCTCTGTATCAGCAGACTATGAGAGAGAGAGAGAGAGTTGTGACTTTGAGATGTTGACGACATTGGGATACAGAGTCGACTTTGGGATAGAGACATTGACGAGGGACTATTTGGGGTCAATACCAGTGACACTTGTGTGACGACATTCCCATCTTCTCCCTCATCTTCATCTAATCCCCCTCCTCTTTGTCTGTGGATGCTTGGGACTGGCGCATTCTTCCTGTGTGAGCGCTAGGCCCTTCACACCGTGTGATGATGATGATGATGAGGTATGTTTGATTGGGCTGATCATTGGTATTCTAGCATTTCCGCTGCGCTATCTTGTGTTATATGAGAGAGGTCGGTCCTTGTTCTGGTTTGCACCATTACGGTATGCAACAGTTTGGTATCGGAGCAGACCTCTCAATAAGTGGATCTGCCCAATCAAGGAGCCTACTTGAGTTATTGATTGATAGTTGGACAATTGTCTGATTGATCGCGTCAAGTAGGACCCGTTAACTCTCTGCAAATTTTTGTTCATTCTCGCAACAAATGTCTGACATTTCTGATAGTCGCATTTCGTGTTATCTGAAAATTTAGGATATTAGCATTTTAGTTGAAAATTCATGATATGAGCATTACGTTTTATTTTTTACTCTGGGCATATGAGGTGAACGAGGGAGATTGTCATATTCTCGGAGTGGATTTATTCTTTTCTGAAAATCGAATCTCCATTCTATTTCGCACATTTTCTTGGCATATTACTATGATATTAGGACAGAGGGAGATTTCCATATTCTCGGAAACTGGATCTATTCTGAAAATCGAATCTCCGTTCTATTTCCCACAAAAGTGAACTAGGGAGGTTGCCATATTCTCAAAAACTACTCTTTTCTGAAAATTGAATCTTTATTCTACTTCCCGCAATTTTTTTTTTCAAGATTGCATTTTTGTTGAACGATGAAACTTTGCGGAACCTTGCCTAGATCTTGCTCACAACACTCCTCTGGAATGCCTCACTCATAGCCGATCTACAGATATTCAAAAAAAAAAAAAAGGGGCGGGGGGAGGATCCTCTTGCTTTATTTATTTTATTTTATTGTATTTCTGTTGATTAGGACCGGGACTGGAAATTACAGTTTGTTTCTCTTCCTGCATTTCCCTCCGATCCAGCCCTTTGCCTGCATTCCCGGTTTGGTAAGTGCCACGTCAGCAGTGACACGTCAGCAGTGCCCCGCCACCATGACGGTCTCAGCTTTGGGAATGCCAGGCCAACGGGCGAACGAGACCATTGCCGAGTACCGACAGCGGTTCCAAGCCCAGCTCGTGCTGATCGAGGCTGAGGAACAGCGCCAGGCGGCAGCCGAGGCTGCCCGCCGACAGGCTGAAGCGGAGGCATCCTCTGAGAAGCAGCAGCTTCAGGCCGAAGCTGACGCAGATACCCCGGCCCGCCACAAGGAGGCCCAGGAGCTACTGCAATGGCATGAAGCCGCCAACGTCGACAAGCGCAGGTTCTGGCATTTTGAACCATCCGAGAGCCATGTGGACGCCACACCGGAGGAGCAGCACAAGGAGTTCTTCTCCAATCTCGTGACCTGGTTGGTTTACACTTGTAACCACCTGCAGTCCGAGCTGGAGAATCTTCGACGGGCGGTACGGAACCACATTTTCTGCACGAGGATGCTGCACGGGCACTTCCTTCCCATGTACAAGACTTGGAGCAAGCTGCACCAAGACCTGATGCTGGTGAGTCCAGCAGTGCACCCTCTACCCGCCAGCTGGAGCAGAGAGTGGACCATGCCGTCGCAATGCTCGGCGACCTGAACACCTTCGTCACACCAGCCACCATCAGTAAGCAACTGGACACCTTGAGGACCAAGGTTTCGGCAACTGCACCAGCTACCCAACAAGGAGGGCAACACCAGTGCGCAGCATTACAGGATGTCGACATTCTGTATCGAAAAGTTCGATGATTATACGCATCAAGACCCCGTCACTTGGTGGGAGGGCTTTACAACGGAACTTCGGATTCTTTTTGTCCTCGAGCACTCGTACATCGGCGCGTTGTTCCTCAACTCAAAGGGCGGATGCCTGATCTGGCTCAGCCACCTAACAACCATCCACGGCGTCCAGCTCGCCGATCTACACAAGAAGATCTATTGGGAAGAGTTGACGAGGCTATGGAAGAAGCGGTTCATCGTTGACGATGCCTCGACACTCGCCATCAACCGCGTCTTCAGCATGACTCAAGGCGACACATCAACACGCGTTTGGTTCACAGAATGGCAAAGTTCGTGGCAACACCCGATCTCGAGTTGCCATTTTCGCATTTACGCCGGGAGTTCTACAATTAGTCGTGTGCCGCCTTGAGCCTCACACTTGGTGATCGCGAGCACTACACGAGCTTCGCCGAAATCATCGACAAGGCGCGGGAGATCATCAAGACCAACAGGGCGGCTGCACACGAGAAGTCACCAGGGCGGCTGCACACGAGAAGTCACCAGGGCAGCCAACTTATGTGGAGAAAGGAAAATTTGGTTCGCGTCCGCAGCACGTCGCTGCAGTCCAATCGGACAACATTATGGAAGACTTAGCAGCCACCCAAGTATCACGTGAGGGAGATCAGGTGGCCGCTGTCCGACCGCGAAGCAACAACAACTCCCGTGGAAAAGGGAAGGCGAAACCCGCATCGCTAGCCGGAAACGAACATCCAGTACCATGGGTCAAGTTTAACTTGACCGAGGCCGAACACAAGTACCGCAACCAATACGGCTGCTGCTATTGGTGCAACAACACCAAGCACAAAACCTCCCGCTGCCCGGATCAAGGCAAGGAGGATGTCCGGTCTTGCATCAACTCTAGAAACTGAGTTGCTTGGGAGGTGGGGGGACTCCAGATCCCACTCCGCCAGATTCGGTCGCCTTGCTAGCGGCCTCCTGCACATCTGGGGAGAATGCAGATGTCGCAAGTCCTTGGTTCACTTACGAGGATTATGCTGTCCACTTGGTCCCACCGTTGGACCAACCACTCCACGTGCAACAATCCACCACATGCACGGTTTCACCACCATCAGCAACCGATTCGGCAGCTTTGCTGCCAACTATCATCGGGGATTCGACGCCATATTCAAGACTTGAGGAGCTCGACCCGTTGACATTCACGGACTTCCAATGGATGTCGATTCCCCTGTCCGGTTGATTGTCGAAACCGCATTGCAACGTGCTCATGGCACAATTGCGGGATTACTTGCACACTGCAGTTCCAACTCTGTTGATGGACGCCGGAGTAGAGGTTGTAGACCTTCACACCTACATTGTGAAAATCGACTGCGAGTTCAAGACACAATGGTACAACGACATCGACGCGTCATTGTTGTACATACGCATTCAGATAAGAGAGGCGACCTACAACGCTTTGATTGATTGTGGAGCTACTCGCAACTACATTAACGGCGCCCTATAGTGCTTTGATCGATTGCGGAGCTACTCGCAACTGCATCAGCCAAGACTTTATGGTACGTGTTGGCCTGGGGCCATAGGTTAGGAGAAAGTCGCAGCCCACACAAGTCACGTTGGCCGACGGTCACACGCACAAGTCAATCGACCGGTGCATTGATTTCGTCCCCGTGTACTTCGCCCCCATGCAAGCGAGGTCGTGTCCTTTGACATTTTGGACACTCAATTCGACATGATTTTTGGTATGTCGTGGCTGCGGACCGAGGATCACCCGGTTAACTTCTACCGCCGCACCGTTCACGTGCGTGAGCGGAACGAAGTACTAGTCTCATGCACGATGCCTCCTCCTCACCCTTCGATAAACTCCCACGTGGTGTCCGCCGCAAGCATTTGTGCTTCCATTATAAGGGACAACTTTGAGGAGATGGGGGTGTGTTTTCTCCACACCCTCCCTCCCCACGACACTCCATCGACGGACGCATCGACGGACCCACACATCACCGAGCTTCTCGACGCTTACAACGACGTATTCGAAGCCCCCCCACGGAGTAGTACCGGATCGGCCCATCTGCCACGAAATCATCCTCGAGGATGTGGTCGTACCTTCGCGTGGGTGCATCTATCGCATGAGTGAGGAAGAGTTAAGTGTGCTACGAGCACAACTCGACGACCTTCTTGAGAAAGGTTGGATTCAGCCTAGCTCTTCGCCATACGGCACTCCCGTTCTCTTCGTACGGAAGAAGAACGAGGACTTAAGGTTGTGTATTGATTATCGCAAGCTCAACGCGCAAACCGTCAAGAACGCTGACCCTCTTCCGTGCATCGGCGACCTCCTCGAGCGTTTGGGCGACGCCAAATTTTTCTCCAAGCTAGACCTCAAATCGGGATATCACCAACTTGAGATCCGGCAGGAGGACTGCTACAAGACCGCGTTCAAAACACGATATGGGCATTTCGAATGGCTGGTTGTGCCTTTGGGCCTTACGAATGCCCCGGCCACGTTCCAAGCGGCGTTCCAAGCGGCAATAACGACGGAGTTCCGACACATGCTGGACCGATTTGTACTCATCTACCTTGACGATATCTTGGTTTGTAGCCAGAGTTTGGATGAGCATGTGAAGCACCTGCACACCGTTTTGGAGAGGCTACGACAAACCAAGTACAAAGCCAACGACGACAAACGCGAATTCGGGCGGCAGGAAGTCGAGTACTTGGGTCATTATGTGACGCCGCAAGGCATCCGTCCGCTCGCGGATAAGATTGAGGCCATCCGGATCTGGCCCGAGCCCACCAACACCACGGACGTTCGATCATTCATGGGGTTGGCGGGCTATTACCAATGCTTTATCACCGGATACTCAAGAATTGCCGCACCATTGACAAGACTTCAATAACCAAAAGTGCCATTCGTATTCGACGACGATGCCCCCTGGTCATTCCAAGCACTTAAGACGATTATGCTCATGGCACCCATCCTTAACATCTACGACCCCACCCTGCTAACGAGAGTGACGATAAACGCTTCCGGCTATGGCATCGGGGCTGTCTTGGAACAACACGACGGCGACGACTGACACCCCGTGGAGTACTTCAGCCATAAGGTGTCTCTCATCAATTCAATGATAATGCAAGGAAGAAGGAGTTGCTCGCGTTCGTTATGGCTCTCAAGCGATGACGACACTTCCTCCTTGGGCGTCGTAGGTTCACATGGGTCACAGACAACAACCCGTTGACCTACTAGAAAACGCAAGATACGGTGACCAACACTATCGGACGATGGATGTAATTCATCGACCAATTTGACTTCACACCGAAACATCTTGCTGGCCTCTCCAATCGCGCAGCAGATGCACTTTCGCGAAGACCCGATCTTTGCGCGATGACACATCATACCTTCGCATTTGACGAGGAACTCCAGCGACACTCCATTCGGGGCTACTAGTCCGATCCGGACTTCGCCACGGTATATGCGCAACTATCTTCGGATCACCCGTCGGCCAGCCACTATCGCATCGTCGACGGGTACTTGCTTCGCCATTCGCGAGGTTAGGACTTATTGTGTGTCCCACGAGACCGTCGTCTTCGAACTCACATCCTTGGCGAGTACCATGACTTGCAACTTGCCGGCCATTTCGGAGTCAATCGGACTATCGCACGATTTCGGCAATGATTCCGGTGGCCCGACGTCATCACCGATGTCACTCGGTATTGCGACCCTTGCAAAGTTTGCCGACGAAGCAAGCCCCGCAACCATAATCCCTATGACGAGTTGCGCTCGTTGCCTATCCCGCAGGAACCCGGCTTCTCCATTGCTACGGACGTTACCAGTCCGTTTCCTCGCGACCGCCTGGGGCACGACGACATCCTCATGGTCGTCGACCGTTTGAGTAAGTATGCGCGATTTCTCCCTTGCAAGTACTACGCCACGGCTCCCGAACTTGTGCGTCTCTTGCACACCGGCTGGATTTGCAGCCACGGCGTCCCGGAAGGTATCGTTAGGGACCGTGACACTCGGTTCATGTCGGCATTTTGGACTTCCCTCATGAAGGAGTCCGACACCGAAATGAAACCAAGTTCAGCTCGGCATCCACAAACAGACGGGCAAACGGAGAGAGCACATCACACTGCTCAAATGATGCTTCGTACGCTCATTCATCCGGATTAGAAGGATTGGGTTGACTGCCTCCCCGACATCGAGTTCACCTACAACACTTCGTTGCATCCAGTGATCGGCGGCCGGAAAGATCGTATCTTCGCTGATCTTCTCCTCCCACGGACTACCGATATTGATGCCCCTTGCTCTCCCACTTCGGTTCAAAAGTATCAGGACTTGCTGACTCAAGCCCGCATCAACATGGAAAAGGCTCAAGTCTGCATGCAGCAGCAAGCCAATCGGCGTCGCGTACCATGTCCTATCCGCGCCGGCGACCGAGTTTGGGTCTCTGCGGAAGGGTTTGCGCTCGAGCAGGATGTTTCACGCATGCTACTTCCCAAGTGGTTTCGACCATGGACCGTCCTTTCAGCAGCAGGCAATGAGCCCAACGGCCCATCCTTTCTGATTGACATCCCTCCGCATTTGCCGGTCCATTTAGTCTTTCACGCTTCAAAGCTGGCGACATACACACCACCCAAGGACAAGGACTTCCCAAGCCGACGATCGCAAGACCCTCGATCCATGGATGGCCACGTCACCACGGATCGCAAGTACAGCAGCAGCAGCAAGCCGCGACAGTACAAGGTTACCTTCAAGGCATGTGATTCCGATGACACTCGATGGATTTCAGGAGCAGATTTGAAAGCATCCGCACCGATGATCTACGCTCACTACAAACGAAAATGGTAAGCTAGGGAAGCTTCACGACCTGCCCCTCCCACCCGGATTTTGGTCCCTCCCTCAGACAGGCAGCTTCGCCCTCGTAGGTAAGCTCGGTCCTTCAAGGAGGGGGGGATGTGGCATACTGTGCAACCACACGGGCCTGCAGGGCCCGACCAGCGTTCTCAGGCTGGCAGCCTGAAAATAAGGGTCTACAGGCCCTATGTCGTTTTAGCGTGACAGCTTGAAAACAAGGGAATACAGGTCGTGCGTAGTTTCAGACCGACAACCTGAAAACAAGGGCCTACAGGCCCTGTGTCTGTTCAGCCTGACATCCTGAAAACAAGGGCCTATAGGCCCTCTGTCTTTAGCCAGAAGCTACTTAGAAACTACCCGGAAGCTTCCTCAGGGACTAACACGTTCTGGCATTGGCAAGAGCAGTCTCCCGGAAGCTTCCTCAGGGTCTAGCACGTTTGGGCATTGGCAAGAGCAGCCTCATGGACGGGCCAGCACTATATAAGACTGGCCCGCCCTACAGGCAAGGTAGGTAGCTCATAGTGAGTAGCCAGGCACTTCACGTGCAACTCAGGAGGCAGGAGGTAGTCTTCAGGATTCGGCAACAGCACTGTGGAGGAGCGCTGCAGTAGTAGTAGTAGTGTTAGTTGTAGTCTTCAGCGCAGGGCGCTACTAGGAGCTAGAGTAGCATAGGAGAGAAAGAGATGGTTGGCGGAGGCCAGGGAGACTTACATGTGGCGCCATAGCTCCTGATTCGTCTTCGAGGTACCTGCATCAAGGCGCCAGCTTCAGAGGTTAGTACCTGGCACTTGAGAGAGAGAGAGAGAGTTTTTGTTATTCCTCTTCTTAGTCCACCATCTCTTCCTCACCCTCTCTCTACCTGACTTCTTTGTATCAACAAACTACGAGAGAGAGAGTGAGAGAGAGAGAGAGAGAGAGAGAGAGAGAGAGAGAGAGAGAGAGAGAGAGAGAGAGAGAGAGAGAGAGAGAGAGAGAGAGAG